TTACACTCGATAATGAGGTTCATAGTCAATATCATCAATACTTCACTTACACTACTGCAAACAGTAGCGGTGGTCTTGCCATAAATTATCATGAGTCTCTGCGCTACATTCCACGCAGTACAGTGCAGACATGGAAAGAGAGGGACTACCTCATTGTGTTTGGCATTCCATCCATTGACATTGATGAGAGACGGAGACGCCGTTATCTGCAGCGGACTACGTGCTGGCAGTACCCCGGTGTGGCACGGAGGGCGAATAACTTCACTGGGGACATGTTGGTGTTGTATGTACTTGCACGGCACCCATCACAGGGCTATAACTATTCTGAGTCACTACTGAAGGAAGTGGCAGAGTATCATGATATCATTACACTGAATATAAACGAAGGTGTGTCTAACTTTCCTAAAATGGTCGGTGGATTGGGGTATTATAGTTTGGAGGCTCAGATGGGTTTAAGCCAGAAGACATATATTTGGTTTGAAATGGCAGTTGGACTTTTCTCTAAGGTGAATTACTTTTCTAAAGGCGATGATGACATGTTTCTTTATGTACCGCAGTTTCTTGCCGACTTGAAGGTGTTACCGAAACGCTGTTTGTATTGGGGAATGATTTCTGGTCCACGTTCTCCTGCACATATATATTTTGCTATTGGGGCCTGTTACACGTTGTCTAGGGATGTTGCAGAGACGTTTCTTTCGTATGAGCCGACACGCCGTTTGTTGAGTCTTCCGTACAGTCACACGCGACAATCAGAGTATCGCTCTTTAAATGTTGATTGTGAGGATACTATGGTAGCACGTGCGTTGCATGAAGTAAAATCTCAGTGTTTGGTTTTTGTGAATGAAAGTTTTTGTCGCTTTCACGATCTTCATTATAATAGCTACAAACGTCGTGCTTCAAACTCTTCTGTGTTGCTGCATCATCTTAAAGAGAAGGAATATTATACGTTGATGAAGATGTTTAGCAGCAGAACAGCAGAAACAGCAAAAACGTATAAAAATATTGATGGACGTATCATCTTCGATTGCTGATAAACCTTTAGTCCCATCTATTATGGGATATTACTAACTTTTTTCTTTGGATATGGTAGGGGTTTTTTGTTTTACCAGTATGAAGTACCATTTATGGAAGAATATATTTGCTTTGTGTCTACTCTTTTTTTTTTGCCCTTTAGTGGTTTTCTATTTCTGCCGTTGGAACGTTCTTCGTCTATATTATATTACTTCTTAAACAAGGCGTATTTACTCTTTTGTTGGTTGGTACGCGTGATATGGGTTACAGTTCTTGGTTTTATACTGTAAATTTTCAGCCTTTTTTTACCTGTTTTTTTTTCTTGTTTTAGTTCTTCTTCTTTTTGTGTAGGAATGAAATATTCCATTTTTAACTGTTTTTTTTTTTTTT